TGTTCTAGTAGTTGAACCTGAACTCAGTGAGGAAGTGACTAAGCCCAGGCAGGCATCCTCTCCAAGGCAAACCAGCCAAGCACGGTAGGTCCCCTCTGTGCACGAGCACTGATATTCAGCCAGTTATGAGCTTAATTACGGATTTCAGAACAAAACAAAAGCTCCCAAAACCTCACAGAGCTATTACGTTTATTAGGAACAAACTGCCTTCACTGTAAAAAGCAGGTAAAATACCAAAGAAAATTCTCTGCTCAGAGTGCATTTGAGTAGCTGGTAGCAATCTTTCCTCATGGCAGGAATGTGACCTTACCTATGTGCTAGCTGATTGCTGTCAGATGTACTGAAGACAAAAGCAGACATTTTATTAGAGGCAAATGCTAAGAGACTATACAGCCCTGCTATGAGACTCTCCCAGAAGGGCAAGGTTTACCCTCTGATTGCACGGATTATATCCAAAGAAAATCTTTCTTCCCCTTCTGCAGTGAGTGCATCTCAAAGTGCTGCTGGGCTAAGAAACAGAATAAGCAAGAAAACACAGAAACACCTAAGGAGAAGAGCATCAGCAACAGAGCTGATCAAGAGATAAAGAGCAGAAGCAAGCCCAGCAGAGGATAAGGCACTAAAGAGCCTGGTCCTGCTGCGCGGAAGAGCAGCAGCAAACCCAAATGCCAGAGGGCAGCAAGAGGGCAGGTGAGCTGGAGCCCGGGGCAGGAGCAGCTGCCTGGCTGCCTGTGCCCAATGCTACTGCTTTCAGACTGACCCCGGGACCTCCCTGAGCACCCAAGCAGCAGCAGAAAGCTGGGCAGGGTTTACAACAAGCTGTCAAAAGGGGCAACAGTAAAAGTTCCATAAAAAGCGCTTATTTTATAAAATTCAACTTGCCCCTTTCAAATAAATGGACACCCAATATATCCAAACGTATATTAGCTTTTTTTTTTTTTTTTTAAATTATGCCTTAATGCATTCTAGTTCACCACTGCTCTGCAAGATTTATTATAGCAATGAAGGCTGAACAGAGAACAACTCACTGCAACCCCTCCCATGCACTCATACAAGATAATAGAAAAAAAAAGAACACAGCTTAATGGTAATTACCCCAGAACTGCACTTTCTAACCCCAGATATTCTCTTAAGGCTGGCGCCTGCTTTTCCTGAGCAGCACAAAATGAGGCCTGGATCCTTTGCAGTTCATTTCAGCACTCTGCTCTCCTGAAGTCCCTGGCCAACTGCTCTCTTTAGGGCATGTTTCTATAGTGACTGAATGGCAGATACTCGATGTATTTCCCTTTCCACCTGTCTTCCTGAGATTAGGATGACATTAAATGTTATTTAAACAATGTTCCCCAAATCGTGCCTGAAGCTGCAGGAAGATGGCAAGGTGTCTCCCTGGTGAACAAACTCACTCAAGCTTTCCCAACGTCTCAGGCAACACAGAAACAAATGCCATGTTTAAAGAGGAATGAGAAATTCTTTATAGCTCACTAAAAAACAAAAATTCATTATTTGAAAAGTTAATATATAAAGAAGCAGGAAGACACAGAGTCCCAGGACATCAGAGAAGGATCACTTTTTCAGGCAAGTATTTGATTTCTTAAACAGCCTTCTAACTTGCATCTTGTTTACATTAACAGCACGTTTTAAAAGGCTGCTGCATTTGGAGCAGGGAATATTAACCAAGATATGCTTCACACGCAGGTAAAGCACCGTGTGCCCAGAGGGAAACAGAGCACATTCTTACACCAGCTAATACAGCAATGACTCATCCTCCTGAGAGAAAAGCCTAAAAACATTAAGAAGAGAATACAGTAAACTAGAAAGGGGGTGTGGGACTCAGCTGGTTCAGGTTTTACATATACAACAATCAGTATGAAAGGGAAAATATTGCACGCAAGACGTGAAGTAATGAGAAAGATCAGGTGTATTTATCTTCCTGGAGGCTGAAAGAACGAAGATATTAAACTGTGCTTTCTGCTAAATTGCCACTGCCAGTTATTGACAAAGTTGTCAATTATACAGGATTATTTGGACTGATGATACAGGAGGAAACGGGGATTTAGAAACACATGGGACTGAAAGGAGAGATAGGGATGAGCTGCACATGATAAATGAAGGGGATTTGAAAGTTAAAGAGCAAAGCGACCAGTTTCAGAGAGTATAATTAAACATCCTTAATTAGCAGGTGAGAGTGCTGCAGTGAAACCACGCATCTACTTTCCAAGTTTGATTTCAGAAAATGAATGTAACAGAGGGGAAGAATGAGCAAAAGTGATCTGTACCATAAGACTGCCTGACACTGCTGGACTTACTCATATAACTTCTATCTTGCTAATGTTTTAGCAACTTAATTATAACAACAAATAAAAAGCTAAAAGTATATCTTTAACCGCAGCGCAGGTCTGTAAGTACTAAGATATTAGTTCACGTCTAGAATTATCTTACTGAGATTTGTCAGACAGTGCATTAGGAAAAGGGAGTAGAGCTTGAATAAAATGCTGGATATCAAATAGTTGAGTAATCAGGCTGCTATACAGTGCATCGGGAATGATCTTCCTGCCTCCTGGGTATGTCATCAGAAACTAGAACATTAGAGATATAATTGAGAGTATGCATAACAATACTGATATAAGAGGCTCTCAGATGTTAGATATGGTAACACCACAATTTTACCTGTGTTACCTTTCTAAAATACTTTTTTGGTTATTGATTAAATATTGTCTGTTCTCAGCATATAAAGACTGATTTGCCACACTGTAAGCTATTCCACTTACTCAGTCTTGAGTGAGGGAAGCCACTGCTTAACAGAACTTACCTTTCAACCCTCTGCTTTATTTGCTACTATAGTTGCTCTTGCTGAGGCTTCATTACACCCGCATGAAGACCTTACGGAGCTAATGCACTGAGCAGCAGAAGCCAGGCCTTGAATACATGCCACCAATAACACTTTTACTTCTCATGAAACAATGCTAAAAATAGTTAGCTGCAACAAGTTTTGAAAGCTATGACAACTAAACCGGATAAATTAATCCAAGTCCCAGGAGGGAATGGAAAGATTAAGTTGACTAGTGTTACAGATAATCATCACTGAAGACCAATATACTTCAGTAACTGTACACAACCACCCAGTACTTCCTCCAAAATGACTCTGTAACCATGAAAAAATGTAATACATTATTTCAAGTACGTACTGAAATACGTTATTTCAATATGCATTTGAAATATGTATTCAAATACATATTTAAATATGTATTCAGTATGTATTAAAATACATATAGTGTAATATAATGTAACATGTAGCATCCGTTTCCTAGGAAACCTTTATAATGGCTATGAAAATCAAATCACTTATTTTTTGCTTGCCTTGCCTTAAGTTTTCTACAAGACATGGGACCCCTCTGTTAGGCAAGAGCAGATGAGGCAGCAAGCAGCCCTGAGCCGAAGTTCACAGGACAGCAGAGATGATGGACCTTAACCAAACGGAACGTGACATACGGAAAGGGCTAGGGAAAAGCAGAGGGGGCAACACACAGCTGACCACAAGCCTGAGGAAACTATAGTCCTGATACAAAACATTAAACAAATAGCATTTGTGATCTACAGAATTATTGCACTATCGAAACACTATCAAAATAAGTAAATTACATTACAATAAGATCTGTGAAGCTGAGTCACCTCAAAGGATATTTCATCATGATAAACACCAGTAGGTCCAGTTCTCTGACACTAAAAATCACTGCAATATTAAGAATAAAAGGAAGCTGGGAGAAATAGCTAAGGCAGGAGATTTTTGACTATGGAAAACTGAAATGTTTGCTGTGAGGTCTCCACAATGTGAAGCCAGTTAAGAAACACAGCTCTACATTTTGCAGTTAAATGGATTGGTTTCCAGAGGAAGGTATAACTAACCTGAAACAGACAGTTAGAACATTTTCCTTCTTTTTATGTTGGCCATTAAAATTACATTGTTTCACTTGTAAACTGAAAAACACAGTAGAGAGGAACATTTCAGACGCCAACAGTTACTGAGAAAAAAAGCAGTGAGGACATTCTGAGGAACAGCAGTGAATAGTGGTGTATCACATCAATTTGGGAGAAATATTGCTCTAATCTTAGTTGGCTTTGTGAAGCATGATAAAGAGAAAATTTAAGGCTTCCTTATTTCTTTTAAGGCTTCATTATCCTGGGTCACTGGGCAGTTGCCCCTTCAGTTTCAGACTTCTTTTTATTTGTGTTTTAAGGCTCTGCTCCAGTTTCTACTGGCTAGAATACTACTCATTTTTAAGCCATGAAAAGAATGAATACAAGCCCTGCCTAAAAAAACAAACAAACAAAAAAACAAAACAAAACAAAAAAACATTGTACAAAGGGATGTCTAGGAAACTTTTTTTGTTAAAAATATAAACACAAAACAAAGTTTGAAATATTTTGCCTTTTTATTATTAAAGAGTTATTACATTTGGCATTTAGCAAAGAAACTATGACTGCATCTCTGCAATTATTAAGTTCGGGGTCAGTTTTTCATACTGCAAACTTGTGATTTCATTCAGTTACTCAGAAGATGATTCTGCTTCTAGCTTGCTTGTGTGCTCAACAAAGGATACTGGCTTCAAATAACTTTAATTTAGATATACAGATGTGCAGGTAACAAGGAGAACTGCATCCTATGTCTGCCACCAGATATTACAGTGAATGCTCTTTACCATCTAGATTGATCTATCCTTTTGCATGGCATTTCTAAATGGTTCTCTGAACTATTTGCTAAGTGGATGAATCTTACAAACAGGAAACTTTCCGGGGGCAGGGGGGGGGGGGGGGGAGGCGGATG